CTAGAAGAGGGGGCAGGCTTTGAGACGCACTTTAAAGGATTGGGGGTTTGGGTGAGGAGAGTCCAGGTAGAAAAAATAGCTGAGAAGAGACAGAAGAAAGGCGAAGAAAGTAGGAATAACTTCCAAAATTTCTCATGTTATTTATCTCAGTCCTTTCTACAATAGCACCTTTCAGGCAGGCAGAAGAAGGCTAATAGATGACATTCAGTACCATATTGTCATTTAACCACATCTGTGTTGTTTTATATTTAAATAAAAGCTCTCCCTTTTTACCATGCACCTGCCATTACCCAGATACAGGGGAGGCCTGAAGAATGGACTATGGCTAGAAGAGTCACAGTAACATCCCGGGGCATTTGGGTTCCAAAAGCTATTTCCCTTTCAATGATGAATCAAATTATTTGGGTGGTGGGGTTGGCCAATGGCACCCACATGAAGCCAGCAAGCCATGGGCAAGTCTGCCTCTTCCTCCCACGAGGTCAAAAACTATTAGAAATCAAATCATTCATTCTAGAACTCAAAAACACCCACGTAGGGCCAGATTTGCACAGGCCACCTTCAGCAGCTCCCACCATCTACTGCCTCTATTGGCTCTGTCCCTTTCTGAGGGTCTGTTCAAAACAGATACATATATTATATATTATATATACATATATATATATGATATATATGTATATATACTTTTTTCTGCTTTATTCAAAGCAGAAAAAAATAAGGAAATATGAAAGCCTATAGACGCTTGGATTTTTTCATTGTTCCAAAGCTTTCTATCCTCGGATCCATCCAGTTTCAGGTTCAGAAGAAAAACGTCCAAGGAAAAGAGTTAAATTCAAAATATGTAGCCGCTTTCTGGTGTCATTTTTTTTTCTTTCTGACTGAAGGCAAACCATTTGCCTGTTTGTTTCCAAAAAGGCATCTGCCAGCAATCAAAGGGGGAAGAAACGCATGGAGCAAATGCAATTGTTTGGAGTAGTATTTCCTGGATCATGTTAAATGCTTAAATTGCTCCCCATTACGCTCACCAAATAATTTTATTTCCCACAATCATTGCAATATTTAGCATGTTGAATTTGATCTTGTTTTAAGGCTATTAACAACGGGCGTGGCTTGTGAAGGGCCTAATTGCTCAATGGGAAAGACCAGCTTCCGCCATCCCCATACAGCACAATGATAAAGTTAAACGTGCCTAATTGTTCTGGATTTAAAACACCATTATCCAATAATATTTATCATTTCTTTGTTCAGGACTACCGGGCCATCTGGAGGGAAATCTTCTCAGGCTTCACTCATTCACAAAGTGAAATCTGTCCTCTTGTTTCCCAGCTTACCTTGGGCACCATTCATAAATATTAGATGGGCCTAGGCTGGCTTGGGCCAGGCACAGCCCATCCCCATGAACATGGAGCGGTAGAAAAATTGGGGGGCTATTGATTGACAACACTGAAATAGACAAAGCTAAGCATTCATGGCTGGCTCTGAAATTTCCACTTGCCTTATGGTGCCCCAATGAAAAGGCAGAAGGCCAGGCAGGTCCCAGAGTAGAGAAGCTGGGGAGGGTTTGCTTTGTGTAGACAAGGAAAGAGGGATAAAGCTGACACTAATTCAAAGATGGAAACGCTACTTAAAAAAAAAAAACCTAACTTGGTAGGTGGTGGAGGTGACTATTTCGTGCAGCTCCTTCAGAACATTTTCCTCCTTTTCTCTAAGTGGTCAGCTGAAGAAAGACCAGTTCATTTGAACAAAACGGAAGTAACAGAAGACGCTAAATGTTTTGGCAGGCCAGTTTCTGGCAAGGAGTTTTCCTCTCTTCCTGGACTCTTGAATCTCACTTAACACTGCCCAGTTTCCTTCAGACCCCTTTTCTGTAAACAGAAATGACTCTCTGGTTTAATCAGAGGCACGGCACTGAGTCACCTCGCAGTCAGATAGCCCATGTCATTGGTAGCCATTTACTTCCTCATCTTACCTCCAACCCCAAAATTACACAAAACAAGGTGATTCATGTTGGGGTGGGGGTTCGGTGGGAAGGGTGGGAGTGGGGGAGGGGAAAGAAAGAAAAGAATTACATTTATTATTGAAATCATTCATTCTCTGAGGGCCGTTTTCCTGTTTCAAATTATAAAAAAAAAAAAAAGCTTTACAGGGTTGCTGAAGGACATAGGCCTTCCCAAAATAAGCTGGGCCATTTGCTAGGCTCTGAAGAGTTAAATGACCCTTGCTAGGTAAAGAGTCTCAAAATTGTGTTGGAGGAAGCAGTGACCCGCGGATTTAAACTCTGCCTGTGTTTCAGTGATAGGATGTACAATGTTGGTGAAACTGAAAATTATTGTGTCCTACAGACTTCCAAGAGAATAATACATATATATATATATATATATATATATATATATATATATATATATATATATATATATACATATATATATGTATATATATATATATATACATATATATATGTATATATATGGGACAGACAGTTGGGCTGTGAATGAGTGTGTTTCCCGCCAACACAGTCACATTGCTCTCAGAAGCAGCAATAGATGGCCTTGTCCAGGTTTAAGGGCTTGCTTCTGGGGTATTTTCCAGAGCATATTTCTTCTCCCAAGACTTCTTTACAAAAGCACAGAACTACTGAAAAAAAAAAAGCTGCAGGGTACATTGCACCAGCTACCTTTCTAAAAGGATTTCAGCAGGTCCCCGTTGCCCCAGTGCCGTCAAAGGATTAAAATATGACATAAATCCTTCTCTCTGGAGCCCAGAGTTTCTTATTTCAACCTCACTCTCTTGAGAAGGAAGAACTCCAAAGTGCCCCATGTCACCTCAACTTCCAGTGAATTTATCTAAAAATCCCTCTCCTCCATCACCCTTTCATACGGAGCTCATATGGCGGTTTCCATTTCCTTGGAAAAGAGTATGTGTAGTTTTTTTAATAAAAAAAAGGATTAATGTAAAGCAATTAGACTTGATTTTCAGAATAAGGAAGTCTAACTAGAGAAGTGATTGAAAATGATTGGTCTTCTTCCATGCAAAAATTTTAAAAATTTTCCATTTCTGGGGCATCATAGGAAGTGTATGTGTGTGATGGAAGGGTATTAGTGTATGTTAATAGGCCCCGAAAGAAACACTAATATGTAATTAAAATTGATTAAAATATTGTCCAAGTGATTATTCTTGTGAAAATCTATTCACTGTAATAAAATGTCAGTTGATCTCAGAAATGAGAAACTGGAAATATAGGGTATCCTGTTCATATCCCTCCAAGTTCACGTACACACATGAATGTGTGTGTGTGTGTTACACAGATTTATTTTCATAAAAAAAAAAATTTTTTAATTAACCGTAAAGTTGCAAGCTGGACACATCTCCTGGTTCAGGGGTTTTTCTTTCTTTCTTTTTTAATTTGCTTTGAATGATTATGGGTGAGCTGGACAAACCTAGCTGAAAATTGTCTAAATCATCCGCTCCCTGCTCTCGTCCTTCAGAAAAAGTGGCCGTGAAAACCAGATACCAAATAAGCCTGAAAGTGAGAGAGAGAGAGAGAGAGAGAGAGAGAGAGAGAGAGAGAGAGAGAGAGAGAGAGAGAGAGAAGGAAAAAAAACCCAAAACATTGCATGATAGTCTCTAAGCAGTTCCATCTGTCAAGCAGAAATTTTAGGCTAATAGCCTGTGGCGATCTCTCTGCGTAGTCCACTACCTGCCTTTGTCCTATTAAATCTCTTTATTCTCCTTTTAAAAAGGGGGGAGGGAAAAAAAGAAAAAAGGGGGGTGGAAGGAAAGGAAAAACCTTGTAGACCAAAATCATCTGAGTGATGAAGCCCTAATTTTAACCGCCTCTTTGATGTGTAGCAGTGGGCTCTGGTGTGCTCCAAAAGCAGAGCAAAGACAGCGAAGCAGTAGGCGCAGATGACTTCTCATCTGTACCTCACCTTGCCACTGGGTCTGGGAGAGATTGGTTCATTGGCAAGGAGACTTTTTTTTTTTTACCCATGATTCCATATGGTATGGACCGGACTACATGTTGCCCAACATGCCATCGCAAATGTTTTCTCAATTAGGTGTCTTATCTCCCGTGAGTTAGCATCAGATGAGGCTTGCTGACAGCGTCATGGCAGCTAAAGCTTCGGATGGCTCCATCAAATGGCAGCTCTGCTACGACATCTCGGCCAGAACTTGGTGGATGGTGAGTTGGCAGCCGGGGCTGCCTTTTTTTTTTTTCCCTTCCTCCTTTTTTTTTTCCGACTTTCCCTCCCTCTTTGACAAAATGTCCCAGACCTCACATTCATCAAATTAACATTTGATTTTTTTCACACTCTTCCAGGGCCGCCAGCCTGGCTCCCCCCTGTTCCTTCTTGCCTTGTTCGCTCTCCCCCTGCCACTCTGGGCTCTGAGTTCCCAGGAGTTGGCCACAGGACAGAGTTTGGTTCTGTCAGGGCTGGGTAGGGGGTGGGGGGCTTAAAGAGGGGGGCTTTAAAAATTGGTCATTTAATTTTGATGGTTTTGCTTTAAATGTGGAAAGTTTTGCTCTGCGAGTTGGGGTTGAGTAGGGACTTGACAAAACTGAGTTTTTTGTCCTCGGTCTCTTAGTTCTGGCCACAAGCGTCTTACACACTGCTTGATCTTTTTTCCAAGGACAATATTTTCTGATGACCTGAGATGGAGAGTGAGAGGGGAGGAGGGGACAGTTCCATTCTCTTTTTTTTGGGGGGGGGAGAAATTAAAACCCAAACAAGTGAACTTAGAGTGGACTGACCTCATCTAGAGTCCCACTAGGCACATGGCCTGAAATCGTCTCCTCTGAGGTGTTCAGATCAGGCTTCCCCACCACCTCCCCACCTCCAACTTCACTTCATTTTGCCCGTTTGGAATAAAACAGGTTCCCCCTTGTCATCAGCACCGGGCATGTGCAGCTAGGGCCCCCCATCTTCTGCCTCGGAGCTGCTCCAGGGACCATGAAAGTTGTAATAAAGTCCTAACATGCGCCACAGAACGAGTTAACTCACATGTCATGGTCGGCCAGGCCAGGCAACCTTTGACATCTTGTATCCACAAGAGGTAGAGTGAGTCAGGAGATGCACAATAGTTCATTGTGGCCGGGGATGCCAGTCCTGTTGTGAGGAAGAGAGTCTCAGGTCATTACTGCCCTCGTTAGGGTGGTGTCCGTTAAGGATTAATTCGTTAGCAGCGCATTTCTCGTTTTCGGTAATTATTATTCTTGTGGCAAGCGTGAATTCTTCCAGGGAGAGAAAAAAGTTTGCTGCCAGGACAATGAACGTATTATCCGTTTCTAACTGGACCGTGAACTCCAGCTCATTTCACATAGATATCAGTTTAAAAAAAGAGGGGGGGTGGTGTTTAGGGGGGGTGGGGGGGGACTAGCGAATGGAATTACAAAACAAGGCATGATCGGTTTCATTGTATGAACCACTGAAACTGTTTCCCTTCCCTGGTCCTGCCCTGTCCGATTTTCGGGATCGTTTTTGAGAAGTTTTTAGGACTTCTGGGAACTGAAAGATTTTTTTTAAAATGACCTACGGAAGGATGGAAGCGGCTGCTTGGGGTGCATTGTATAAGCACATCCTGGAACTTGAGTTAAGGTGTGTGTGTGTGTGTGTGTGTGTGTGTGTGTGTGTGTGTGTGTGTGTGTGTGTGTGTCTGTATCTGTGTGTATGTGTTTGGGTGCGTGGTTTTACTTTTAATTTCTTAACTATACATTAAAGACTCGCCCGATGGTTGCCAGGAAAATGTTGCATTGTATCTTTCGGTTAATTAGTCTAGTGGAAGACTAACCACTTAGCTCCTGAAATTTTATTCACACTACTTATTTTCCAATTAGAGTTTCTGCCAGGGAGAAAATGAGTTTTTACTTGTATGCTTGGATGCTATTACCTATCCTTTTGCCTCATGCTTCTTGTTAAATGCTAGAAATAAATGTATCGATGAGTTGGGTGATTGATTTCTTAGGAAAGTTATAAGCTTTGGGGGGAAAGAAAAGAAGTGCATGCTGATGGACATAGTTGTTTTTTTTAATAGACTGTTACATTTTTGTAGTAAGATATGCCATCCTCTTATTTGGTGGGACTCATCGATTGTTGCTCCGTAGGTGAACAACTGTAATCTCTTGCCATAAAGTTTACTTGGAAGTTGCTTTTCATTTAAAATTATTTTACAGATGTTTTACTGCTGGATATATAAAATATAAAAGTGATGGAAACATTTAGTAATGCACTTGACTAAAAATAAACAACAGGATAGCCACACATGCTGTTGTTTACATTGAACTCAAGGGAATCTCTTCCAAACTTTAAGGCACCGGTAGATTTCTGTTCTGAAAGGAGCAAGAAACCAGTATGTTCTCTAAAGAAGCTAGACAAGTTAGCTTAAAGGAGAAATCAATTTTGCTGGAGTTGAAATTAACAATGTAGGATCACAGTTTGGAAACATTACTTGCAAATAATTGCTACACACATTTTTCATCAGTGACGGAAAATCTAGTCCTTTGGGGAAAGAGAACAGGTCCAATTAGAATGAAAAGCGAAATTCAGATTTCAGGGGTTTGTTTTGGTTTTTGCTATTTCTCTCTCCTTCCCTTTCTGACTGTCAGCCCCTTCTTTGACTCTCCCCCCTCCCACACATCCGCTCACCAACAAACAAATAAAAATGCCAAAAAACAAAACAAAGGGAAAAAAATGACAAAGCAAATCCCACTTAACCAGAATTTAGGTACAAGCCTAGAGTTTTTCATCGAAGGCAAAGAAAGCTTTGGAAATTACCTCATGCATCATCAAGGTCCCCCGCTGCAGAGTGAGAAACTTCAGATGAGTCCTCCCAGCAAACATACAAAGGGATTTCATTGAATGCCCCTTCCGCCCACAGAGACTCAGCTGCCAAGGCCGGGATATGCAATTTTGCTTTTTAATGAATCGTAAACAATTTGTATGGCAAACGAGTTTGTTTGTTTTTGTTCTGGGGCATGTGTGGAGTGGAGTTGTAGCCAGTTACATAGTAATCTACTGTCGCATAGCATATCCAAATGATGGCAAGATTCTGTACTGTTTTTACTTTTTCCCCCCAAAATAAAGACCTGTTATCGTGAAAGAAACTACTTTATAAAAGGCTGAGAATAATGCCCTCTTTCCCTCTTCTTTTTTTTCTCTCTCCTATCTCTTTCCCCTCTCCATCTCCTCCCTCTGATATGAATTCACTCTAGTTCTGTCTCCTTGCCTCTCTGGCTTATTGATAACTAGTTGGAAATCAGTTGATTAGATAATTAGCTTTTAAAATGAACACATTTTTTTGTCAAGGGACTAAAGAGCCCCTCTCTTGTATGAGGTGTGGGTTCTTGGAGGAGCCATTCTTGCCTTCCAAATTAACCTTCCACTTCTGATGCCTATTCGGGTGTTTATAGGTACAGGATATAACAAACTTTCAATTTGCATTTCCATATCAAAAGGGAACATGGGGTCAAGAGAGCCAGAAGTCAAAGGAAAACTTTTTATTACATCTGAGAACATTATAAACAAACTTTGTCTTTGACTAGCAGTCCGGCTTCTTGGTGTGTGTAGATTTTAACATTAATTACATTTGTCACTGCCACTTATGAGAAATCTTTTGAAATCCGAGCCTCCTCTCTAAATGCTTTAATCACGCAAATCAAGAAATAGATATTGCGTATCAATTTAGTCTAATGATGTTGTGACATCTCTCACTGAAACCTTCTCGACATGAAAATACAGAAAACCTCCATGAAATCCCCCTCCACTTTCAAGGTTTGCAAATGGTACATCACTTGCCTGAGCTACAAGCTGCTATTGAGGGAATTTTTGACCAATAGATCTTTTATTATTTACTTAAGTCCTATATGCCAGGCATTAATATAAAAGGGGAAAAATATCTCCACATTTGCAGTTATCCATTGACTGATAATAAGGTGTATGGGACAATTGCAGCACATTCATCTCAAAACACCGATTACCTTTACTTACTGGTCAGCAATTAAAAACAAAAAATCACAGTGGCCAAAAATGCAGAATGTGAAATTGTCTCTTTAGTTTCCCTAACTGATGTTAGAGCTTTGGCGTTTATTATGGATGCCTTGTCCCTGTAAGTCAATTTTTTTCCCAACAAGAGCTGTCCATCATTCCATCAAAATTCTCAACACACCTTTTTCCTCAGGGACCTTCCTGGTCAAGAAAGTCATCTTTCCTGTACCCAGAACAGTCCCCACCATTTAAAAAGAGCTTATGCACAGAAGGTTACAAGGTGTTTCAGTGAATTATCTTTAGCCCAAGTTTGACGATACCAATGAATCCCTCAGCTCCAGCAAACTTGGAGAATGAATGACAGTCTCACTGATGCATAGCTAAGAACTCATATTTCATTGAAACCCTTTTCCCACCTTTGATGGATATTTTCAATTCATCTTGGAAGCTGTCTTTGAAATCTTCATTTTTAATATGAACAATGCTTGACGATGACTCTTTACTCTTTTCTACTAAATGCAGGGTAGAATGGCTTTTTTTCTTCCATCGGTTTGCCCCATCTCTTTCAAGATGTTGATCAAAATAGTTAGGGTCCGGGAAGGGTGTCCTATAATAGCTAACAAGGAAAAGTCTCAACATGAAGAGGACTTAGGCCTGTAACATGACTAAACTCTCAGCATCAACTTCCCAGGGGAGGATCTACTCTAAACAAGTTTTTAAAAATTCTGTTTCATGTTATAATGCAGAAGGATATTTTGACACATCTCTGTTGAATGAAATGTCTCGATATGCAATCATGAAAAATATGTCTGGCTCTTATTCCGACTTCATTTATAAATATATGTGCCCATGTATAATGATTAGTTAAAAAAAAAAAGTATAAACCATTAGAGTGTACACCATTGGAGGCACATTTCAATGGACAAATAACCTCCCCTTACTATAGTTCCTTTTCTTCTCACACTGTCTAATAAAACAATCATTTTCCGTGGCTATAAGCTGATCCTAGGTGACATCTTTTGCAGTGGTGCTCACTTTTGGGGGAGGAAGGGAGAGAGAAAATGACCCTTTAAATTATGGATCCATTTTGCTGCTGGTTTTTAAAAATCAAATCCACATCATCTCAAAGTAACTTCTTCAAAAATGTGCTTGGCTGGGTCCATGGATTTAGACTATCTTTTTAAAAATCTTGCTTTGCTATTACTACACTCATTTCGCCTATGAACTTTAGATGGTAAAATGTAAGCTTTGTCCTGGCTGGTTTTTCTCCTCGATTTCCTTCACCTGTCCCAAATATCATTTAAGGAATGGTTCTAATTTAAAAATCCAGAGTCAGGGTCTGATTAGAAGACAGGAAATTGGAGGATTAAACTGTCTGGTTGAACTTCCTTTTCTTATCAGCACTGAGTAACTTATGCTGGATTATAAACTCAACAAGACAGTTTTTACAGTATATTGTCCCACACGGTTGTGTGTATGTTTGTGTCCAGTGGTGTATGTTTGTGGACAAGTTTATGTGGAAAAGTTTCTCCCTAAAATGAGTGTGGAACAAATCGTAAATTCTAAGCTGGTGTTTTCTTTCATTTTCCTTCCCACTAGAAAGAGTGGGCTGGTTGGAGACTCAGACTGCTGTGATCCATGGCGATCAATGTTTATTTCTTCAGTGATATCGTTTAAATGAACTTTCTCTTACAAACACTTTCTATGAAACTGAGAAAATACAGAAGGAAATCCTTTAAGGAGGAAAGTGAGATCAATGCCATTGTTTTCTAAGAGAAAGATGGATCCAGGAAACAAGGGATCCTTCAGAATCAGAGACACCAAGGGACAGATGTGGGGTGGCTGCCTGGTGAGGAGGGAGCTGGGGACTCCCTCATCTTATGCTTCGGGAGCCAAACCACTTAGTTACTTCTCTCTCAAGCGAGAGAAGAAATCAGCTAAGCAACGGGAACAGGGTATAAGATCATAGGCTGCAATGTTCCAGGTGAGAATATCCCTGTGACATGGGGGTGCAAATGGAGAGAAAGATAGAGACAGGGGGACTTTTGTGTGCACAAATCAGTGTAACTAACAACATTCCAACTGTCCTAGATATTTTTATTCCTGTGTCTTGCTTCCTAAACGCCCTCCAGTCAAGCACTGGAGTTTAGGATGTCATCTTACTGTTGAATCCTACTTCTGTCTCTGTGTCTCTGTGTCTCTGTCTCTGTGAATCTCTCTCTCTCTCTCTCTCTCTCTCTCTCTCTCTCTCTCTCTCTCTCTCTCTCTCTCTCTCTCTCACTCTCACTCTCTCTCTCTCTCTCTCTCCCCCGTGTCTCTCCCCCTCTTCATATTTTACTTTCTGCTTCTCTGTCTCTCTCCATGTTTCTCTCTGTCCATCTCTCTCTCTGTCACTCTCTCTCCATCTCTCTGTCTCTCTAGCTGTTTCTGTCTCTGTCTCTGTGTCTGTCTTTCTCTGTCTCTGTTTTCTGTCTCTGTGTGTCTCCCTGTCTCTGTGTATGTCTCTCTGACTCTCTCTTTGCCTGCCTGTCTCCCTCTGTCTCTCTTTTCTTCTCTCTCTGTCTGTCTCTGTCTCTGTCTCTGTCTCTCTGTCTCTGTCTCTCTCTCTTTCTCTCTCTCTCCCTCCCCACTCCCTTTTTCTTCCCCCTGTCTTCCATTTAGTAAGGGGCTCAGAAATATGTGGTGTGATTTAACTAACTGAGGTAGCATGGAATAATGGATAAACTATTTATTGGTCTTAGAGTCAGGAAAATCTGAGTTCAAATCCTTTCTCAAACATTTACCAGCTGTGTGACACCAAAGAAATCATCTAACTTCTCTGTTCCTTAATTTCCTACTCTGTGAAGAAACAGGGGTGGTAATCAATAACAGCTCCAAGTCTGTGCCCCCTCTATTCGTTCTGAAATGGGCAACAATGAACCATCTCTCTGGATCCCCATTTCCTCAGCTTGGGTTCAATGATTTCTGACGTCATTCCCAATTCTAGATCTATGATCTACGGTTGGGATTCTCCTTTTGTAATCCTGGATGCTACAATCAATTGAAAGGAGAAATAGTAGATTAGTCTGTCAATAAACATTTATTAAGTACCTACTGTGTACCAGGCAGGGGTAGCTAGGTGGTGCGGTGGAGAGTACATGGGTTTTGAAGTCAGGAAGATCTGACTTCAAATATGGCCTTGGATACTTACTAGCTACGTCACTTAACCCCTATTTACCTCCATTCCTCATCTGTAAAATGGGGACACACTGGAGAAGGAAATGGCAAATCACTCCAGTATATTTGCCAAGTCCATGGGGTTATATAGAATTGGACATAACTAAATGACTGAACAAGAACAATGTGCTGGGCAACTGTGCTAAGCCTTGAAGATACAAAGAAAGGCGAAAGACGGTCCCTGACCTCAAAAAGCTCCTAGTCTAGTGGGTGAGACAACATGCACACAACTGAGTACAAACATGCTACATACGGAATAATTTGGAGACAATTGGCAGAGGAAAGGCGCTAGTACTAAGAGGGATGGAGAAGGCTTCTTGGAGGAAGTGGGACTTTATCTGGGACCCAAAGGAAGCTAGGGAACACTGGAGCCAAGGATAAGGACGGAGAGCTTTCCATACATAGCCGGGAGTGCTGAGTAAGAGCAGCAATCAATATCTGCCCATTGGACATGGATGGCTAGGAGCCACAAATATCTCTGGCAGTCTTTTCCCCGGTACAGTGATATACCAAAAAATCACAAGTCAATATGACAAAATTATGAAGATCAAGAGGGACTCAAAGGGAGAGATGAGAAGACATTGCACGTGTTTTCAGGCTTTCTCAATGTATCGATCAGTTATACTAAGT